TAAGTTCAAATATATTAATCCCTATTTATCTTCTTCATAAATGGTTAAGTTTATAAGTATTACTTATATTGAAATCCTTAAAACCCAAAAATGATTCTATATTTTTCGTGATGAAATTTTAGTTTTCAAATATTCACACGTTCGTTAAAATGCAATCAACGCGCGGCTCGCGATAAATAAATTTCCCCGCTAGATTGAATTACGCATCAACACATTATCGGGAAATTCTCGACTGTAGAATTTCACGTACTAAATTACAATGTAATAAACATTGGTATGAAAGACAGATATAAAAAGCGTTTTAAGCATTTATTGAATTTGATGAGCCAGTAAGTTTTATTTCCAGAGCAAGGTTTTACAACTATGTTACATATAAATTACAAAACAGTTATACTCGTAAATATGAATTGGAGTTCTAGCAGTTCTCCAAGATAAGCAACTAAGTTGCCTATATTTAGGAGTTAAAGTTCCCCAACTCTATTGATATAACGTTATAATGACTCGTGAGTGTTGTGTACACTGGAAATTGAATTTCTAGTAATTAAGAATACTAGTAACGTCGGTTACAGATGATTACAGTAAAACGCTTGTTTTTGCTCATGGCCCATTTGTGCCAAAGCATTGCTCTTACACGGTATTGTTTTTTCCAATTCTTTGGGTTAGACTTTACTTATGGAAACTATGCAATATTAATTAATTTATTCTATAGGAGTAAGTGTATGTAAGTGAACTGTGTCCACTCATTATACCCACAGTTCCGTAAAGAATATTTAATGATTAATTTAAAGTCAGAAGTAATTACATAACAGACAAAATACTTGGTGCTTTTGCCAAGCCCGCATTGCGCGTACCACTATTACTAAATGTGATATAACTCAATTGACAACCTGACATGTTGTCAATACTCGTAAAATGTCCACTGTATTGTTTCATTACTCTTTTTTTTATGGCGACCGTACAGGGTCTCCTCATTCATTATCTTGATAAAACCAATTTATTTATATATCACGGCTCGTAAATTGATTGTTTTAATAGTTTCGAAATAAGTGGAATTAATTGATATGTCAGGTGCAGGTCACTGTCACCACTTTTCTAAATCAAGTGAGGTTTATATTTGCAATTGGCGTTTTTTATTAAGAAAACATTTTGAAGTGTAGGTTTACCAAAACCATGGACATGTTTTAAACAGTTCTATCGTTGTTTTTCACCGAGTGTGTGAGGTTATCGGGGCCCAAACCCTCTCTCCACCTGTTTTTCGAGGGGGGAGGTTCAATTAACATCAGGCGACCCGTCTGCTCTTTTATTCTGTTAAAGAAAACTATTCCATACCAAATTATCGTCTGGTGTTAAAAGTCATAAAGGTTATCTGCTGATTATCATCATGATATGAATAAGGGTGCAAAATGGGTGCCAGAACAGCTTAATCTATTAAGACTTTTACTAATTGTTATTCACGCTTTTATTATGCATCCACACAAGCTTCACTGTCACTGTCATTACTTAATGAATAATTTGCACTACTACCAACTTCAATAATACTCCCTGATGTTTACACTTTGACCACAAGCTCTTTGCTTCTGTATTTTCTTCTATTTTATTAGGTATCCATAGCAGCTATTTTATACAAAATATCAATAAAGAAAATAAACATTATATCCTTTTTAAATGCCAACAATATTATCCTTAAAACGATTTTGCACAAGTATTAAGAAGGTAAGACTATTAGGAAGAAGGTAAGAAGATACCGGTATGTTTTTAAGCTTTACCTTTTAATATAACCTGAATAATTTTGTTTGGGTTTAAGTTACCATGATAAGACATCATTATGAAAACTAAATCTGTAATATTGCTCAAAGCAATATTTCCTTTATATACTTTTATACATCATTAGTGCCAAAGGGAAAAGTGTTCACAATATCTCTTTCGCATTTCAGTATTATAATGCTTTAGTATACCTTTACGACTATCAATAATTTTGTGTCGTTTTAACGCGTACAAATCGTTTAAACCACGCAGGGCAACCGTATTGCAAAGAGAAGGAAAATTTGAAACAAACGCTGTATATTAGGCCAAAACTTCCTTTCTAAGGAAGGGCCTATGTCCAGCAGTAGACTACTAAGTGCTGTTGATGATCATGATAGTTACTTTATCATTTGAAGTAATAACTTAAATTCCTTTTTCGGTAACTTTTCAGTTTATAAACATTTTTTAATGAATACACTAATACTAAACTACATAAACTCGTATATGTACATATAAATGCTCTGATATAAATGTGACATGTCCCTCAACACAAAGGGAGGATTTTCTTACCAGGCGAGGTGATCATGCCTGGCGGGCCGCGGCCCGACGGTTGATGTTGGAATGCTTTATATATGCTAATCGTCGAGAGAATTCTCGATATCGCGATACAGGATTAGCAATTCTCATTTAGTAGTTACTCCGTAGTTCGATGTGTCTTCGTTAGATGACGCTGTAGTTTGTTTCTGTTTCTTTGTATGTGGGAGTCGCCACTAATGATATATATGATGATATATAAATGATTTATAAATATTAATGATATATTTAAATCCATTATATTTCCCTTTAGAGGCTTATCTTCAACATATATAAATCCAAACAGATACGTAGAAGCTGTGTTACCGAGAACCTGTGGCTATTGTGAATTTGTGGTTTTTTCAGGGAAATCCCAAAAGAGAGAACGTCGGGCCACTAATGTTATAAAGTTGAAAAGCTTGTTTGTTTGTTCGGTTGAACGCGCTAGTCTCAGGAATTACTGATTCGAATAGAAAAATTCTTGTCGTGTTGGATAGCCCATTTATCAACGAAGATCAATCTCGTCACGACCAATAGGAGCTGCGCATCAATGGAAAATGTTGCAAAAACGACGAACATTTATTCCTTTTAAGAGTCAGACAAAGTTAAGATTAAGAAACATTAAGGTCATAATTATTATCTACTCAATGATGCAAATTTCTTATTAAGTTAGAATATATTTTATATATTTTGAAGTGAAACTTCTTTAGAATCGTTGTGATTTGAAACTATGAAACTAAAATGCGTCACGATAAAGAAACAAATACATAAATGTATAGGATTAAATCGGCGAGAAAATGAGATAGAATACATTACACATTATTTTTAATATAATATTTTGACAGTGTAAATATTTTTATCTTTTTATTTAATACTAGTACACGCGACTTCGTTCGATTTTAACAAAAAAAAATTATAGGGTAAGAAAAAATAAATCAGAAGTTTCACTTCTGCCGTGTGTGAATTGCACGCAAACACTTTTTTTATCGAAAACTTTTTCTATCGAGGTTGCTCAGTTCATCAATAGCCTTTACTAGTTCACTGCTAGAGATAGGCCTCTCCATAAAAAAAGAGGTTTTGGCCTACTATAATACTCTGGCCAGACGGGTTGGTATACGTTATGTTAAAAGTTTTCCTTCAAGCTCAGTAATCGCACATTAAGCTATGGCATGGATTTCAAATCAGTTACAATTATTATTATTATTATTATTTTCATGAAACTTTAAAATATGTATGAAGTCTGTTGAAAATCTAGAATAAGGGACATAATAAACTAGACTTGCGTAAATCTAAGTCGCGCACCACGAGGGACACGCATAAAATTTATAAGTTGTCAATTTATGACAGCTTTTTAATGTATCGTTGGTACGTTTTAGGAAGGCAAACTTAACTTTTACAATCATAAAATGCTTTTCTTACATCGATATACGTCACACTTAACACTCCAAACCTTACTGAGAATGTTTTGACAGACAGACAGACGACGAAGTAACTAATCTCATAAATTTTCTAGTTGAGCTTAGGAACCCTAGCTCAAAACAAATTTATGAGAAACAGGAAAAATAACCATAAGAAACATGTTAAGAACACTGTTATTATACCAAAATCTAGAATAGAGTTATTTTTAACAAGAATGGTGGTACTTATTGGGACAATGCTAGTGCTCAAAGACATCGCCTTTTGCTATATGGCCACAAAATAGAATAAACAGATATTTTGTGGTTTTAGTATGACTAAGAAAAAGAGGTAAAAAAACTTTAAAGATTTATTGTCTTGTACCAAACCAAAGTGCATTGAACTACAGAATTAAAATTTGAACTGTCAAGGCTATGTCGCGCTATGGTTTGGTTATTTTTATTCGTCATTATATATTATATCTTACACAATATGGTTTCTAGTAACTTGACTTCTATAAGTCGTTGTGTATATTAGTAATTATAAAAAAAAATGAAAAAATACACTCAAGCATACAATTCGCCTGATGGTACGCAGTAAACAAATCTCATGGACGTTTAATGTGTTCGTTTACAGTGTTGGTGCAATCGTTTACTACTTGTGGGTATTCGAATATATGCATTTTGTTATATTTAAGCGTTAATTCTGTTTAAATTAATTATTGAATTAAATTTGTAGTTCATAATAACACTATTATAGAATAATCTTATTATAATTAGTTTCCTTTGAATAAATTAATTTAAAAAGAAAATAATGACCCGAAATATTTTTAAATGAGATCTTGTTCTGAAGAAACGGTTTAAGGAGTTAAAGAAAGAAAGCTGTGCTGGATATCCTTTTCAAAAAAATAAGTGTAGGACATATACATACTATAGTTATTTTATTACCGTGATAGTCAATGGTCTTTAACGAGGTTTTAATAAACGTTTAATTACTTTGCTCCCCTTATAGCTTTTGGCACTGCACTGCGTGCATGGTGAAGGTGGTTTTGGAAATCGCCTCAAGTATCTACCAGGTATGTCATGAACAGACACCAACTATTTCTTAAGGTGGATTAAATAAAATATTTATTAAGTGAAATTAATTACTTACATTCAAATATCTCATAATTAAGCAGGAAAACAAGAAAGTATTATTTAAAGACGTTATTGGTATACTTCTATTTTAAGGTATATAAGAATGTTTTAATTCTATCTGTCACGATATAACATGAAATTTTGAGTACTAACCCTTCACCGAACTCCGTTCGGCATTGCTCGTCCAATGTAAACACGTAGTTAGATATTTCTTTAGCTCCTCCCAGTTCCACACCTTCATCTCGACTTCTTTCATGTAGACACCACCATCGCCTGTAAAAATATATAAATTTAAAATAATAATAAATAAATTATTCTAAAACTTGTAGGTATTCTATACGGCGTTCATCGTCATTTTTAGCATCAACATATTCTTCTTCTTCTCCCTGCCTTTTCTTCGTATTATAAGGAGTTGCGTAGGGTTTGGCTAGTTTCTTTTATAACTGGCTACCTGCCAGAAGTCAATCCTTCTCGCGTAATCGGTTTTATATGGAACATAGAAACAATACAAAATTTGGATAAAGATAAGGGATAGGTCTAAGGAGCTGGGTTAAGGGAAATTGTAAGTATCGCATAGGCAATGGGACTACGAGTAAGATTGTAGTAGCACGAAGAGTCGGAATCGCGTCCCCGTTAGATAGGCCTTTATATTCTGCGCTTTCCAACAAACTTATTGGTTAAAAATTAGGTACAGCATTTTACTTGCGCATAAAGTTAGCTTGACTTTTCTGCAAGGACAATCCTCGCAGAAAAGAGAAAAGATGTTTGATTATTCTATAACTGGCTATACAAACAGCAAAGAATTTATTACAAAGGCGATTTTGCATAGAAAGTAAAATTTAGCTTGCATGTGAATTAACCTAAATGCTTATGCATGCATGTAGGTACTAGCCCATTATACTTACAAATATCGTAGTCATTTTGTTACCTCGACAGTGTACTATAAAGCCCAACCTCACATCCTGAACGGTTTGACGTATCTGACCAAATGGATGTGCCATATAAGTTTTAATTAAACTATGAAATGTTTAAATAGGGGAATCAAATATTATTTGTGCTATTGCTATTGAACATTTTGAAAATAAATCGTAATAATAATGTATTACTGTGTGTAAAAGATTTATAAGGGAAACTGATAGCCGCCATACATATAAAATGCAACTACCTACTTAGATAATTTCATACAAAACGATCTTACATGAAGTTCTTACTTCACACGGGTAGTAATGAACTACAGAACCCTACATAATTTTTTGAATGACATATCATTTCTTATGAAAACTTAAACCCAAATTAATAATTTACAAAAATTTCAGATGTGTAATATATTATTGATTAATAAACGAGTATTTTTCCATTCATGATCTGAGTGCCTTCCAGATCGACTAGTAGCTGTTATTAATGTAGTTAATGTGTGTCCAAATATGTATGTAATGGTAATTTAATCCATGGCCTATAATGATACATTACGGACTTCTTTGATATTGATTATATGATGTCATCCGTGATCACGTCTATCAAGTCTATATGTATACTATTTTAACCGACTGTTTTATTTCGAATTATCTATTGACTATAGCTTCGTTTACTTAACTTTAGATTTCGGTAATCCCTCAAAAATAGTAGTGTATTCTCGTGTATGTTGTCAAAATGTTTTCAAAGTTAATTGTGTCGTAAAATTGTAATAAACAATCTCATACGAGTACTTAAGCAAATCGCCTCCAACTCTATAAGGCGCAAGTCCGACCGCATATGGAATATAGTTTTCATCTCTATGCAGGGGACCACAGTACCAGCTTTTCCCTCTGGACCATATCCAAAGAAGAGCGACTCGAATCGTCGATAGCCAAAAGATTTGCGACCGGCTCGATCCCTACGTAGAGATGTAGCTTCGCTCTGCATTCTCTATCGTATATATTGTGGAGAGTGCTCCGATTAATTGTTCGGACTAATACCGGCCGCAACCTTCCGCCATCGTTGCATACGGCAAAATTTTCATCCCCACTACTTGGATAATTGGCGTTCCACCACTGTGCGCTTTTCAAGACGCTTTTTGCCTCGCACTACCAACCTGTGAAACAAGTTATCGGCTGCGGTATTTCCGGACCGATATGACCTTCAAACCTTCAAGATAAGAGCGTACTCCTTTCTCAAAGGCTGGCAACGCGGTTGTTACTGCTGTTTTGCAGGCGTTCATGGGCGGTGGTAGTCGCTACCATCAGGTGACCCGTCTGCTCGTTTGCCCCCTATTCCATAAAAAAATAACATATAAATAAAAATAACGAAAACCCTACTTTGTAAAGAACAATTAATAAGATGCCCAAAATCTCTTACTGGTCAAGGTAATTTTAGGTAGTGGAATTGTGTCAACTCACTGCTAGACTAACAAGCCTGTCAATCCAAAGAAGATCAATTTAAATAGAAGAATAAATACAGGCAAATTATGTCATATAGCAAAGATTGATCCTCGGGTTCCGTGGTGGCACAACGTGTTTTCGTTAACACATTTTCAATATACATATTAAATGATAGGCTTGATTTATTTCAATACAGTCTTGCTAACGTCGCTTTTCATAATTGTTACTGGAAATTATTCGTTAATTCGAAATTATGCGTCGTTATTCGTTCTCTTTAAGCATACATTCCTCATACTAATTTATCACATTATTATTGAATATAAAAAGTTAAGCAATACTAGGTGAGTCTATGTCTACTCGGTGACCATTTCATAACACATTGAGAGCCCTTCGTGCCTCAGAGAGCACGTTAAGCCGTCGCTCGGTCCCGGTTGCTCTACCAACATTTGTGGCAAGCGTCACAGGTAGTTGGAGCCCTAAAAAGTTCGACAACAGTCTTTCTACAAACACTTCAATATCGCGTACTATAGGTATTATAATGATTTTTCAAACTAACATAATATTTATTTAATCTGGTGTAGATGCCACTTGAGCGAAAGAAATCTGAAACGTTATTTTCAAATGAGAACTAAGTACTGACATTGCAAAAAAAAGCAATATTTATCCACGGAAAATTGGAGTGCTTATTCGACCTTATTATAAAGCAGCCAAGATATGGAACGAAATAATGAGCAATACGACTGGAATGTATGTGAAGGTAATAAGAAACAGACCGAACGGCTATTGATCGAACTTGGAATTTATGTTCTAAAATCTATATAATATAATAACGTTGGGTAGTTGTGGTTTGTTTTCTTTAGGTGAATATCGTAAATTCTAAAATCATAAGGTGGATTTTAATTTTGTTTTTGTATTTCATTCAGTTAAATTTCCCGTCATAAGATCTTAAGACACTAATGAATAGATGTCCTTAGTAGAACTCGTTAGATTTAGTATTATCTACAGGTGATAATTATGTCTAAAGAATCAGATGCAAAACTTGTAGATAAAATATTCTTATTTGTTATGAGAATCAAAATTCATAGTAAAAATATATATAGAACAACACACTAAAAAGAAATGGTAAATGTATGCGTAATATCATAATGTAACTTAGTTCTCCGAATTCGCAATTGTGAAACCTTTTTGATATTCTAGTGGTATTTTAAACAAATTTATAGGAAAACTAGCTGACCCGGCAAACGTTGTATTGAAAACAAAAAAAAATTAGGGATGGGTCACCCTTACCATTTAGAGGTATGAAAAATAGATGTTGGCCGATTCTAAGACCTACCCGATGTGCACACAAAATTTCATGAGAATCGGTCAAGCCGTTTCGGAGGAGTACGGTAACGAACATTGTGACACGAGAATTTTATATAAAAGATGATAAATAAAAATAACCGTACAAATAGAAAATTTTAGGTAATACAAGAAGTAGATGTAATTTAAATCTCATCTGTTTAATAAAGAAAGTAATTTAGTACTCAATTAATTATTTTCACGTAACAAAAATGACACCCACTGATATTTCCAGAACATTGTTGTGAAATTAATGAATATCGCTACGACCACAATAAATAAACTTTATAAAAATAGTACCTACTAGCCTTTAACATTTTTTATTTACATATTTATAATGTTTCATCGTAACTGTTTGTTAAGTGCCACGCATTGCTATGGCACATTGTAGTTGCAAAAAAAACATCTGAAGCTTGTTACATATCGTGTCAAAATAAGAGCTCAATTGATGCAGAACATTTTGGGTTTTTGAAGCGTACATAAACTAACTTAAAATTTATATTATATTATATACATATATTTTATTAAATTTATGTAGATTTTGTATATCTCTTTACTTCGATTATGTTAAATTTAATATTTTAATTTGCACCTACCGTTTCATATTTCTACATCACCTTACCCATATCAAATTATATATTTTATATTATATATTATGATTATACCGCATTGTGACCGAAAATTTAATTGGCATTCTTCTAGTCTTAGTAATACTTTACTACACTACTAATAGTTTTATATGTGTAAAATCAAATGCAGGTCATCGGTTTGTGTAAATTCAAAGTTATTTACAAAGCATTATAAAAACTTGTCATATATTCCATATGAAATGAATGTTTAAAGCTCCCTTTTACTAAAAGGTAGGTACAAGTCAAACAGACTTACCCGTGATGGAAAACCCATTAATGTTTGTAAGCTCCGGGTCATAAGACTACCGCATTTTATTTATAGATCATAAAAATATAGGCATTCCTTTTCTTGTAAGGATTTAATTCAATATTTTGTTGATATCTTACTGTGTTGTATGTTTTTACCATTGTAGACAAATGATGATCAATCTTAATACCGGTTTTTCCCAGTAATGCCATGAAACCAGTTCTACATTGAACTTTTGCAACCAGTCATCCATGTAAGGAACTAGTAAATTCCTTACATGGAACTAGTTGGAATAGCTATTGGAAGTGAAATACCTAGTAGTTACATAAAATCAGTTGCAACCAAAGTGTCGACAAATAACCTTTTCTTTGATTATAATAAAGTTTCAGCCCTAACTTAGGTATGCGGTTATCATTGACCAAAAATAATCGCAACACAATTTCTACAATATTGTTTAGTCTCGAACAGAAGAAATGTGAAATATTTCACATAAAGTTTACATGCAGACAAATACGGAATTTCACCACCCCTATTCATCCCGTGGGTGTCGTAAGAGCCGACTAAGGGAGCAGGACAACAGCACTGCAAAGAGAAGAAAGCTTGAAACAAACCCTATACCAACCCGTCTGGCCAGCGTGTTATAGTAGGCCAAAACCTTTCTAAGGAGAAGCCTATGTCCAGCAGTGGACTGTTATAGGCTGTTGGTGTGAAGCAGTTTTAAATTATATTTGTCATAAATTAGTAAGATTCATTACATACTTTTGAGACTGCTCACGTTTCGACCAGGTTTCACTGGCCGTGGTCAGAAACGGACTCGATGTTATAATGCCGTTTGTTACTAATAATTACGAGTATATAGCATGGACTGCAAAAGTTTAAAAGTTAGTATGTATTATCAATTTAAATAATATATGTATTCCGATATATTAAACTATACAAGAAATTGTTCATCAATTCCCTATAGAAAAAATACCAAAAATATTCCTCAAAAAATTCAGTGTTATTTCAGAGTTATGAAAGAAAAAGTTAAAAAAATGTACTTACTTTGATTTTTCATGAAATTGTTCTTTAGAACACGGTGACCAGGAGTAGTTGTGGAGAGTTGCAAGCACCGTAGGAGCCATCACGGACCCTCTTGTTGCTTCATTGTGACAGTGAGAGTCATCGTCGTGGGTAAGTCCTAACCTGGTAAAAAACGTATGATTAACATACAGATTAATTAAAAATATGATTGCTTTGATATACCAACCAAGTATATGTATGGTATACTTGGTTGGTATGTATTTATAATTTGGCAAGTCAGTTTTAATCCTTTATTTACAATGATAATAATTATTTATAAGAATTATTATTCAGGCAATCAGAGATAATTGCGATTTATTTACCAATTACCTACCTGATTGATATTTAATCTAATTTTATATATGTCAAATATTTATTATTCACTCGGAAACAAGATGAATATCAACCGTTATTTAACAATAATTGGGTGAAATGAAATTGTTGAATTGCAATAAGCTCTGTATAAGAAAAAATTGTCACATAGACAGACAAATGATCGTGCTCCTCACACAATATTTTTCTTGCCCATCAAAATGTTTCGATTAACTATTATATAAATAAATAAACAAAAGGCTGCGATGCGATGGATCGATACTGTTGTATTAACGGTAACAAATCAATCCATGTGCCTACATATAAGTTTCCTATTAAGGCTCACAACTGTTTACCGAGTAAAGCGTAGGCTGTTTTCAATCAATGGTTCTTAATTAAACATATTACATGGCTATAGGCATCCAAGTAGTATAAACACATTAAAACGTGATCAATGTTCTAAATTAAATTACATCTCAAGTCTTTTATGTTTTTTAAACTAAATTCAAAAAAGTTCATTTGTTTTTTTTTTTATATTATGAGACAGTTTCATTCACTGCTTATCTTACTTAGTTTGATGTCAAGGATTTTATTATAGGATGTTTGAATAGGTTTTGAATAAAAAACTTTAAACTTTATAGCAGTCAAAATATCTTGGCAGAATTCATCGATCATAGCAATAGTGCAAAACTAGACTAATGAAAAATTTAATAATTGAAAAAATAATAGTTTTAATGCAATATCAGCTGTCGACAGGGCCGCGGAACTGTATGGGGTGGGAACCTCTGGCAATAGATTAGAGGCTGGGCTAGGAGACAAGGTGGCGACCTGATCGTATCTAGACGCGATCGGGCCGCACGGTAGTTATTGGGCCGATTGTCGGCGAGGCTTATGGCTTCCCCCGAGATATGGCCTTGTTAGGGTGACGTCGATTCGGCGGGACCTTGAAATCACAGAGTCCCGGTTATCCCGTGAGACGGTGACTGAGGACGGCCGCCGGGGTAGTTTTTAGTGAAAACATCACATTGACATGATGGCGTCCATAAGGAGCCGGAGATCCAAAGGACTTTTTCCCCGCGACAACAAACCAATAATTAATAATATCTTCACACATCTAACACACGGCGGTCTGATCCCAAACTAGGCAGAGCCTGTACTATAGTGACCAGATTGCTGGTGGTTGGATGGTAAACATACTTATAAATTTCTAAATACATACATATTATAGAAAAGTACACTGGGTGTACTTTTCTATAATATGATACACAGAATATACACATAACAAATGACCGTGCTCATTACACAATTATTTGTCCTGGGTGGTATCGAACCCACGACCTCTGGCGTAGCAGTCAGGGTCACAAACCACTAGACCAGCAGGCCAGTCAAGGTCAGTCAATAATTGCTCATTAATTACTTTAATATTATCTTTTTTAGAAACTAAAATGATAGTTTTCAGATAGAAAACGATATTTAAACACACACATCACAAAACTGTTATAAAAAGAACAAAAAAAACGTTAGTCTTACACAAACGTTACCATAAAAATTGAGACAATAGTGTTAATATTAAACAATACAAATCATAATTACGCTTGAATAAAGTTTTTACAAAAGCCTCCTACGTTAGTCACTCCTCCTACGATGTCAATGATCAGCGTAGGAGGTTTTTGTAAAAACTTTCCTTACATAACGGAGACTCAGTTTTTATAGCTATTTTTGATTGATTATAAAATTGCAATGTCTAGGTTTTTATGAGGTGATGGTACTTCTATATCATCATCATTAAGCTGATACGAGATATTTTTAAGTTTAATAGAGCGTCAATTAAACATCTTGAATAGGCAAATCATTAGGTAGTACCTCGGTTTCGGCTATCTAAGATTTAGAATAAGCTTTTGAATTTGCAACGTACAGAATAATAAAAGACAAATTACACCCAGACACCATACACGATCATACTCATTGCAGATATTTTTACTGGCTGGGAATCGAACCTGCGACCACTGGATCAATAACCACTACACCAACAGGCTGGCTAACTAAATGTGTCAACGGTTTACTACCGTTGACGTAGTTACAAGTACATACAACATTTGTCATAGTGTTATTTAAACAATATGATAACTTAAGATCAGTTAAAATGCTAAATTGAACACCATATTTTTAGTACTCGTTTCACTTGACATAAATTTAACAAATATGTCCTCACTTTGTCAGTGAATACTTTCTGAAGAGGTCAAAGTTTCTAAAGGGTATTTATTACAGCAAATAGAAGGGCATTAGCGCTAATAAAATGCTCCAGTATACTCCTAAGGGTGATATATTAATGAAATTACAAGTAAATAATGATTAATTTCCTTGCATGTTTACCCACGACCTCCCTTCGGGCGGATTAATTAATCCTAGTAAACGTAGGTAATTGCGTGCGAGATTCTAGCGGAGTGTTCGGGGTGACTGTACCGACGTTACGACGGATTAATCACGATTCGGGAAATTGTACACCGTTTACATGAATACCGATATAAAATTATGTGTAAAGATGTCAGTTAGTGTCAGTTTGAACGAGGGGTCTAATTGAGATTGACGCAATTTAATTATTATTAAATGGAGCAATTTAATTATTATTAAATGGAGCAATTTAATTAAATTAATTAAATGCAATGTGTGTAAATGTTATCTGGCTTAATAATTAAGGCCTAGGGCTTACAAGCTTCTGTAAATATATAATTAAACTTATTATTTGCTTACTTCTATTTACTATTTGATTTGGTTGTCATAAAAATTAAAAAGCTAAGATTTTGCCAAATCTTAGTAAAATGTAACAGTAGTAAAGATATAGTTCTGAGAGTCTGTGAAATGAGAAATCTTTGATTCGAAGATTATTTTTCGATAGCATAATATTATTATTAATAAAATATAACTGCAGAAAACAAAGGAAGATATCAATCATCGGGAGTCAGCCAGCTTGTTTTTGTTTCACGCAGATGTTCGACAATTTGAATCAGCGATGTGTAAAACGTGTCACATTAGGAAGGGATCTGTTCTATTTATGTTTTTGGTAAAAATATAGTTTTTGTTTATCTAAACGCAGTTGTTGACTTTCAGTTCAAGAACTGTGTAACCAATTTTTGCTTTATTTACTAAAATTCTTTTAAAACATGTTCCCGTTCTACCCCAAAGCTTTTTAAAAAAACCACGACTCCTGCACAAGGAATATACTCGTATCCTGTGCCGCGAGACTTTTACACACTTTTATGAAACAGACACAAAGAACACCCAGACTCATTAATATTTAGATCACACAATGTGTTGTCTTATGTGGGGATCGACCCACAACACTTAGCGCAGTACAAAGCGGCGAAGTGACTTAAACCACTACGCCATCCGTGCAGTCTAAAATTAGCACTCAACATGGACAACTTTATATTGTTATATGTTTGTGTTCGTTTGTTTTCCTATATTATATTTCCATTTACTACTATTAAACTTACGTAGTTTTCAGGGTCTGCTGATGAAGACCGGAAGTAACAAGAGCAACAATGTTGTACAATTTTTTTGTTCAAGAGATTTATGACCTATTACATAATTGGTATTAAAATGATAAAATAATGGCAAAACTCCATGTTTCATACGCTTTTGCTTATCGAATGGGGTATATAGACGTGAGTATGTAGACGTAGACCTATGAATAATAACAAAAACATATTTATTTCATGTTCACTAAGTGTCGTTTACCTAAGAATATCTACTTCATTTATCGCTGAGTTTGAAAACATGCAAATTAGGAAGTCACAAACAATTGCTCCATCCAAGGATTTAATATCAAACCCTCGATGTGATGGCAGTTCGTAAGACAACAAGTAATCCTCTTGTGGCAAGATAACGTTTTCAAAATATATGACTAAAGTTATATCTTAAAATCTTACTAAGAAAATTATGAACCAGTTGTTTCGATATTACGTAACAGAATGATAAATTAACAGACGCTACCTCAAATATGATACGAATAACTAATTAAGGAAGTAAGTAAGTACATGTGAATCAAATAACGACTAATAAAACTATGTTGTGCAGATACGATGCAATCGACCAACTAGTCAAACTAACAATACCAATTAATTATCTAAAACTATCGGCGTTCAAGTAGAGAAATATCATCCAAAAAGGATTTTAAAATATTATAAATAGTATAATATAACACAGTATATTCAATAGTTAAACGTCCTTATTTAATTTTAGTCCTTGTAGTTTAGTGTAGATTTATCATTTCATTTTCATTATGTAAAGCATGGTCCGATAGTCATGCTTTATAGAGAACACAAAGTGTTTACAACTGTTGACACATGTATGCCTTGACCGTATTTATCTATAGTTTCTAACAGCCTAAACAATTAGGTTGGTTAGATAAGGTTTCCATATAAATCATAAATCACAAGCCATGTTCGTGCCCTCTATCCTTGCTATCTTTGTTTGGTACAATCTGGTAAACAGCGCCATATATGTTTAGCAAATTATCTTTGACAATGACTACGTGCCCGTATATATACCTATCTACCTGTATATCTATCTCTGTAAATAATTAAAACTAGCTGACGAATATCTCCGAGTTGCCTATTAATTTTCTGACCGTATATAGTCACTGATAGAACTATGAACCCGAGAAGTACGACCGAAGAAGTGATCAAAGTGACATCTATTTTTTTATTAATTAAATCTATTTTATTTCTTGATAAGTCTTAATTCATGCATGTGTCACTTATAGTGCCACTTTATTTGCCTGGTTTTTAATTTTATCTTAGTTTTCTTTT